TGGGGCCTATGGGGCCTGTGAGGCCTATAAAGCCTGTGAGGCCTATGGGGCCATATGGGGCCTGTGAGGCCTGTGAGGCCTACAAGGCCTGTGAGGTCTATGGGTCCATATGGGGCCTGTGAGGCCTATAAGACCTGTGAGGCCTGTAGGGTCTGTGAAGCCTATGGGACCTGTGAGGCCTATAAAGCCTTTGAGGCCTACAAGGCTTGTGAGGTCTATGGGTCCATATGGGGCCTGTGAGGCCTATAAGACCTGTGAGGCCTGTAGGGTCTGTGAAGCCTATGGGGCCTGTGAGACCTACAAGACCTGTGAGACCTATGGGTCCATATGGGGCCTGTGAGGCCTATGGGGCCTACAAGGCCTGTGAGGCCTATGAGGTCTACGAGGCCTGTGAGGCCTATAAGGCCTGTGAGGTCTATGGGCCTGTGAAGTCTATGGGGCCTGTGAGGCCTGTAAGACCTGTGAGGCCTATGGGGCCTACGAGGCTTGTGAGGCCTATAAAGCCTTTGAGGCCATACGAGGCCTGTGAGGTCTATAAAGCCTTTGAGGCCTAACAAGCCTTTGAGGCCTATGGGGCCATATGAGGCCTGTGAGGCCTATGGGTCCATATGGGGCCTGTGAGGCCTATAAGACCTGTGAGGCCTGTAGGGTCTGTGAAGCCTATGGGGCCTGTGAGGCCTATAAAGCCTTTGAGGCCTATAAAGCCTTTGAGGCCTAAAAGGCCTGTGAGGCCTCTGAGACCACACGAGGCCTATGAGACCATGTGAGGCCTATGGGGCCTACAAGGCCTGTGAGGCCTGCAAAGCCTGTGAGGCCTATAAAGCCTTTGAGGCCTACAAGGCCTCACAGAGGCCTCTGAGGCCTACAAGGCCTGTGAGGCCTATGAGGCCTACAAGAACTGTGAGGCCTACAAGGCCTATAAAGCCTGTGAGGCCTACAAGGCCTGTGAGGCCTCTGAGACCACACGAGGCCTGCGAGGCCTACAAAGCCTTTGAGGCCTATAAAGCCTTTGAGGCCTACAAGGCCTGTGAGGCCTGTGAGACCACACGAGGCCTGCGAGGCCTACAAAGCCTTCGAGGCCTACAAGGCCTCTCCAACCTCCCTTCTCCTAACCCACCGGAATCCCGGAGGCGAATCCCTTTCCCCCCCAACCCCCGAATCCCGGGAAAACTTCCCTCACCCAAGTTTTCTATGGAATAATAACGCTGCTTGCTGTCCACCCGCACGGTCTCGGCGTAGGGGCTGCCGACGCCGTAGCCGATGATGTAGCCGCGGACCACCACGTTGGGGTTCAAGGGCGGCGTCCAGGTCATCACGATGCCGGTGGCCAAGGGCCGGACGTGGAGGGAACTGGGTTGGTCGGGCACTTGGGATTCTGGAATTCCAAGGGAAAAAAAATAGTGGGAATTAAGCTTTAGCAGGCCTGGAATTCCCGGGATTTTTTAGAGGATTTTTCTGAAATTTTTAGAGAATTTTCCCGAAATTTTTAGGGATTTTTCCCAATATTTTTAGAGAATTTTCCCGAATTTTTTAGGGATTTTTCCCAATATTTTTAGAGAATTTTCCCAATATTTATTTGAATATTTTCCCAGAATTTTCCCAATATTTTCAGAGAATTTTCCCAATATTTTAATTTAATTTTCCCAACATTTTCATCCAATTTTTCCAATATTTGCAGCCAATTTTCCCAATATTTTTAGAGAATTTTCCCAACATTTTATTTGAATAATTTCCCAATATTTTCATAGAATTTTCCCCAAATTTTTAGAGAATTTTTCAAAATTTTTAGAGAATTTTCCCAATATTTTTAGAGAATTTTCCTGAAATTTTTAGAGAATTTTTTCCCAACATTTTTAGGGATTTTCCCCAAATTTTCAGAGGATTTTCCCAATATTTTCAGAGGATATTCCCAATATTTTTAGAGAATTTTCCCAATATTTTTAGAGAATTTTCCCGAAATTTTTATAGAATTTTCCCAATATTTTCAGAGAATTTTCCCAATATTTTCATCCAATTTTCCCACTATTTTCCCAGAATTTTCCCCTAATTTTTAGAGAATTTTCCCAATATTTTTAGAGGATTTTCCCAATATTTTTAGAGAATTTTCCCAAAATTTTTTAGAGAATTTACCCAATATTTTATTATGGAATTTTCCCCAAATTTTTAGAGGATTTTTCCAAAATTTTTAGAGAATTTTCCCAAAATTTTTAGGGATTTTCCCAATATTTTCAGTGAATTTTCCCAATATTTTTCCATCCAATTTTCCCCCTATTTATTTGAATATTTTCCCCCTATTTTCCTCCAATATTCCCAATATTTATTTGAATATTTTCCCACTATTTTCATCCAATTTTCCCCCTATTTATTTGAATATTTTCCCCCTATTTTCCCAGAATTTTCCCACTATTTATTTGAATATTTTCCCACTATTTTCATCCAATTTTCCCACTATTTATTTGAATATTTCCCCCCTATTTTCCTCCAATATTCCCAATAATAATTTGAATTTTTCCCCCTATTTTCCCAGAATTTTCCCACTATTTTCATCCAATTTTCCCACTATTTTCATCCAATTTTCCCAATATTAATTTGAATATTTTCCCACTATTTTCCTCCAATTTTCCCAACATTTATTTGAATATTTTTCCCTATTTCCATCCAATATTCCCACTATTTATTTGAATATTTTCCCACTATTTTCATCCAATTTTCCCAATATTTTCCTCCAATTTTCCCAATATTTTCATCCAATTTTCCCAACATTTATTTGAATATTTTCCCACTATTTTCCCTCAATATTCCCACTATTAATTTGAATATTTTCCCACTATTTTCCTCCAATTTTCCCACAATTTTAAGACAATATTCCCAATATTAATTTGAATATTTTCCCACTATTTTCCCAGAATTTTCCCACTATTTTCCTCCAATTTTCCCAACATTTATTTGAATATTTTCCCCCTATTTTCCTCCAATATTCCCAATAATAATTTGAATTTTTTCCCACTATTTTCCCTCAATATTCCCACTATTAATTTGAATATTTCCCCCCTATTTTCCTCCAATATTCCCAATAATAATTTGAATTTCCCCCCCCTTTTTTCCCCCAATATTCCCAATATTTCCCTCCAATTCCCCCCAAACTTCCCCCCCATTTTTCCCACTTTCCCAGCCCATTTTTCCCCCTCTTCCCACCCTTTTTTCCCGGGAATTCCGTTACCATCCAGGTCGTTCTCCGGCGTCTCCGCCGTCACCCATTCCGAGGCCGGGCCCGTCCCGTTCACCGTCATGGCCGACACCTGGAAGCTGTACTGGCTGCCCTTTTCCAACCCTGGAAACCCCAAAAAATGGGAATATCAACCCAAAAAACCAGGAAAAGAATTGAACCAAAAAAAATCAAATTTTGGTGCTTTTTTTGACCAATTTTGGGTTTTTTTCAGTGATTTTTCCCTTTTTTCCATCCGTTTTTTCCCATCTGTTTGTTCTCATTTTCCATATTTTTTTCCATCTATTTTTCCTTGGTTTTCCATCCATTTTTCCTTAATTTTCATTTTTCCTTATTTTCCACCATTTTTTCCATTTTTCCATTTATTTTCCCATCTTTTTTCCATCTATTTTTCCTTAATTTTCATTTTTCCTTTTTTCCATCTATTTTTCTTTTTTTTCACCATTTTTTCCCTTTTTCCCTCTATTTTTCCTTCTTTTCCATCTATTTTTCCTTAATTTTCATTTTTCCTTGTTTTCCACCAATTTTTCCTTTTTTCCACCAATTTTTCCCTTTTTCCACCCATTTTTCCTTATTTCCCACCAATTTTTCCTTCTTTTCCATCCATTTTCCCTTAATTTTCATTTCCCCTTTTTGCCATCCATTTCTCCCACAAAGGGAAAAAAAAAAATCCCATTTTTCCCCTCCAAAAATCCCCATTTTTAGGCTAAAAAATCCCCAAAAATTCACATTTTTAGGCTAAAAAATCCCCAAAAATTCACATTTTTTGGCTAAAAAATCCCCCAAAATCCCCATTTTTAGGCTAAAAAACCCCCAAAAATTCACATTTTTAGGCTAAAAAATCCCCAAAAATCCCCATTTTTAGGCTAAAAAACCCCCAAAAATCCCCATTTTTAGGCTAAAAAATCCCCCAAAATTCACATTTTTCGTCCTAAAAATCCCATTTTTTTGGGATTTCACTCCCAAAATTCCCAAAAATCCGGGATCAAAGCCACTGACCCGTGAACAGGTACCAGAGGTTGTTGGGTTCCAAGGTTTCCATCTCCCCTCGCCGGGCGGTTTTCCGGTGGCGGATTTTATATCCCGTCAGGAATCCGTTCTGGGATCCCGCCGGAGGCGGCAACCAGTTGACTTTGATGCTCTGGAAAACAGGGAATTTTTTGGGAATTTTTGGGGATTTTTTGGGGATTTTTTGGGGATTTTTTGGGGATTTTTTGGG